TGAATTGGTTGAAAAGATTGTGTATTAATTAAATTTTGTTGTTGAATTGGTTGTTGATGTTGTGCATCTATTGGTTGTGGAGAAAAATTTCTATGATTTGTACGTGTTTTCTGTATTTCTTGTCTACGATATTCTTGAGTATTTGGTGCAAATATATCTGGTTGTAAGAAATCATCATCTGAGGATAAATAATCCATTTGATAAGATGTCTGTTTTTTATTTTTATTTTGTTGAAAAAATGGGTAATTTTCACTGTGATCCTGTGGAGGATTTGTTTGGAAATTTATTGAATTAGGTTGGGTCATTGGGTTATCCCAATTTCGAGATCTTGTATATTGGTTAAAATTTCTTTGTGGTTGGTTATATGTTTTTGATGGATGTGTATAATTATAATTATGGTCTGTAAAGTTGTTTCTAGTGAATGTTTTGCGTGTTTTTGATGGTATTGTCATGGGTCTGTATGTTTGGTAATCCATATGTGAATATTTAGGGGCAACCGAAGGTTTAACGGTTGATTGTAAGGTTACCTGTGTTTGTGAAGGATTTGTATTTCTTGGTGTTGTTAAATTTGGGCGTATTGGTGAAATACTTTGTTGTGTAGTTGTTGTGTGTACAATTTCTTCATTTATGAAGTGTGATGGTGTCTGGATATCTTGTTGAGTAAGATTCCTAGTTCCATTGAGGTTTTCATTGTGTATAACTGTAGAGTTTAAACTATTATTTTGTGTATCGGGTAAAAATGTATTATAGTTTAATGGTGTCGCATCAATGGTTAATGGTATTACTTTTACATAATCTCTTATGTAAGATATTGTACTTATTGCTTGACTTGAGATTGTTTGTGGGAAGCTTATAAATGCGGGATGAGACCATTCGGGGTCCCAAACATAATCTGATTGTTCTGTGATAGCGGTATCATCGTTCGAGTTTTGGGGTCTAAAATTTTTTCTTGCTTGTGCAATTAAATCAATATTGTGTGTGAAATAATCTATTATGAACCATGCCAAAATTTTTTGTAGATCGTGTTTTGTATGTTGTGAAACGTCGTCTTTCGTGAAATTTTCTTTAATGATGTTTAAATAACTAGAGAGTAGTGTGATTTCATGTCGTACTCTTAAATGTTTAGATGTTTCTGTCGGTGAGACATTTGTTATTGGGATTTCGTTTTCTAATATTGAAATATAACTATATATTATTGCGAAAACTTCATTGGTGAATATGGAGTTTGCTCTTTGTGAGTTATGATATTAGATGCTTTTTATATATTCTGAAAAAACTTTTGAAAATTCTAAATCAAGATCGTCTGTTTGAATTGTATATTTTCTATTATTATGATTTGGTGAGGTGAATTCTATGGAGTAGATTCCATACTGTTGTGTTATGTTGCATATATCTTTTAAGTAGTGGTCTATGATTTGTCTTTTGATTTTTACATCTGGGAACTCTGTTTTACATGGACTAATTCCGGGTTCAAATAAATTTAATAGTAAATTTTTGCAAAATATATGCTGTCCTCTATCAGTGGTTGCATCTACTATAAAAGGAAAGATTTCATCATCATCTGGACTTTCTTCACCTGGGGTGTGCGTTGAGCTCATTTTTTCGTTCGATGACTGTTAATATGTAATTATTAATGTGTCGAATTGGTTGATTCCAATTGTATAAATGTACTGGTTTGTGTTTATACTGCTTTTTTATTCTTCTTTTTCCTCTTTTTGATGAATTTGAAGTTGTTTCTGAGTCAGAAAAATATAATTGATCGTGAAGTGGGTAATTTTTATCTATTGATTCTTTTAGTTTGTAAAGTTCGTCTAAACTGTTGGTTTCTGATTCTGAAAATGCGTTTCGATTTTTTGAAAATCTTTTTCGTGTTATTTGTCTTTGTTTCGTTATTATTTTTCTTTTTAGTGTTTGTCGTTTTGTTCGAATGTATCCAACTGTTTGTGTATGAGGTGTGATTACAAGGTCGTATTTTTTGTTATCTATTTCACAGTTGTGTAAAACGATTGTTTGTTTATTTCCTAGGTTTTTAAATGACATAAGGTTTAGGATGACGGATGCAAAAGGTTGTTAAATGGTTTCTATTTTCTTAAACTGTTAGTTCTTACGATTTTTTGGTTAGCTTAACCTGGGTCTATTTGTTCAGGGTTGGAGAGAAAAGTATATCGATTCCGAAGAATGATTTTTTACTTTCTCGTGGCTAGTATAAGTTAAGGTGTTAACTTACTTAATCTTACTTAGGGGTAGTGATTGTGTTCAAGGGTTGGAGAATAGTAAATCGATCCACAAGGTTCAGGTATAATTAGAACGCGAGTAGTTCGTTAGATACTATTTTAAACTTACTAAGTCTAAGATTTATCCTGGGTCTGGTAAGAGGGGGGGTCAAGTGAAGGATGAATAACCGAAGTTCTTCACTATTTATCCTAATTTGAATGATTAGTTTTGTTTAAAAATTTCTATTAGTCTTAGGTCTTTAGAAAGGGTTGGGTAGTGAATCGACGTTTGAGGTCGTTAGACACTAATTAAGTGGGTGGGGGAGAACAAAGTTGTTCTGTTTGATCCAAGGATAAGCCTTGATGATCAATTTTGAATTTTAATTAAGTAGAAAATGATTTAAGATCCAAGGATAAGCCTTGATGATCTGGTTTTAAAATTAAGTGAATTTAAGTTTTAATAAATTTTTAAATGTGTGTAAAGGAAAGTTTTAGTGTTTTGATGATATTAGTGGATTTATGATTGCTGTTATGTTTTAGGTGATGGAGCTGGAACAACAGGATGATTTATGATTACTAACCATTTATTGTCATGCTACTAATTTTTATTTTTTATTTTTCAATAAATATTTTTCAAACATGTTTTGTATATTACTGCAGAGTTTTAGGAAAACGATCTTAGATCTTTTTATCAATCGTTATTGTATATTAATAATTTTGTTTAGCGCCTGTAATGATTTTGAGGATTGACTTCAAAATTTTAGGTTTGCAAATGAAAATCTAAATTCATTGCCAGTAGTATTCTAAATATAAAAGTTTGTTCTGGTTTTTGCCTAACTATCATATAGCTATATGGCAAGTTTCTACTTTGTCGTATGTCGTCTCTGGTTCGAGGTCTTCTTCCAATTCCGGGTAGTTCTGTTATGGTTCGGAATATTGGCTCTGATCTATTGAGTCGTAGAGACATTTCGATTAAATTATTGTCGTATAACATTTTGTAAATGTTTTTGTCTAATTTCTAATCTATTTTGGTTAATTCTAAGCTATTAAGGTCTTGTTCGAGACTTATGGTCGCACCAGATGAGTTAGGACCGAGTTGGTTAACTCATAGAGTAATTTCGGATAGGGTACACCGTCTGCTCGTCACGCTATCTTATTTTCGGCCGGATAGATTCGTGCAACTTCTTAGTCTAATACCGATCCTAATCTTACTCTTATACTATCTAGTCTCAGGTTGTTTAACTAGTCTCTGCTAGGCTCAATAGATCTAGGGTATACTGGTTTATTGCGGCTGCTGAAGTGCTCGGGAGAGTCCAACTAATTTCTAAGTTAAATTCAAATCTCTCTGGTGCTGAAATTACAAGTAACTTCAGCACTTACAAATAAGTGGGTTGTTAGTTAGATGGATCATGATTGGTTAATATTAAATACTTTACATTGGTAAAATATCTAAATTATCCAATCATAAAATGTAGTTTAGATCAGGTTCCACTTAAAACTATAGAGTTTTTCGGGTTTTCGGTTCCAAGCGCTAAAATTGTATTATAACCTCCGAAAAGTCAAACTCATTTTTCGAAAAAAAAATAGTTTTTTTGAAATTGCTTCATTGAAAACTCAATGTTGACTAGTTGTATCATGTTCAGATCAACATCAAAGTAAGGGTAAGGGGCGGGGAATTTAATAACTGTAAGGGGGCGCTAAGATTAAATAACTTGTTGAATCTGATCGGCTGAAACTGTGTTAATGAAAACTGACTGTTACTAGTTGTATGAGTTTTAGTCAAAATGATACTGGGGGGTGGGGGTGGGGGAGGCGCGAGGGATTATGAGGGCGGTAAGAACCGATAAGACCTTGATGAGTTAAGGTCTTTTTCATTTAAAAGTGTTCAATTTAATTTCATTTAATGTTTTCATAGTTTTTTTCAGTAATTTGTTTTTGGTCATTAAACCAATTATTCGCTTATTGTATATTGATTAGTTATGGTGCATAGGTATGATATATATCAACTGCGTTTGAGTTTATGAAAGCTATAACATTATAGAATAAGAATGATGTCCAAAGAAACTAGATTAGATGACTAAGGTATCTTACTGAGCGGTTCATATACAAAAAATGTCACGTAGTTCTGGTTTTGCACTTTTTCAAGTAAAAACAACTGTTAAGTTGCTTTCTTATAGCAATTATAGGCAACAAAAAAGATAAAAAACACAATTCTAGTATTTCGAAAAGATATGAAAGGTAATGTAAACATTTTAGATGAAAAACACAGCTCGAAACAACCATAGTTATCATTCAGAAAATTAAAAACTGCAACAAAAATTTCAAATAATCTTTCCCATTTTTTTGCAGTGCCCAAGACAGGGTGGGGATAAATATTTCAACAAATTGATTAAATTGGCTCAAGAACGTAAATCAAAGGGCAAAAACAGATGCAAGGTCTTTTAACATTCATCCCTTGTGTTGAATTTGTCTGGTGAAAATTCAAAAAAAAAATTTACCTGTTGGTACTATTGCAAACTTTCCAAAAAACTTCTGATGAAAGTTGGATGTCAATTGAAAAAACACGGAACAAAACTACACCTAGTTAAATTTAATAATGCCGTTTGATACGGCAAATTACGAAGAAAAAAAACGTTCTAAGGATTAATTTTTTCCTAATTTTTAACAAAGGCGAAGCAAATCTTTTCATCACTTGCGATACAAAAATATATGTCGCAGTGTTTAGTGTCAAAAGACTGCAACTTTCACATTATTCGAAAATTTCAAATTATCTCAAGATTCAAAACAATTTAATAAGTGATTCTTGAACACAGTCATGATTAAAAAACGTTCCAGTCATGAGTTCTAGCAAACATTCTTGGAACTCAATTATCTGCATCAATTCAGGAATTTACGAAAGTATTTTCATTTGAGGCATGGAGTTTACATCTGCACCACAAAGTCAGACGCTGTCTTCTATTACTTGTCGCTGTGGAACAAAGTCTATGTACCGACTTTGAAGCACAAATGTTTTAAAGCACGAATAAAACTCACAGCGAAGTGAAAAAAAAATGGAACAGCTAGTAAGTAAACTTGTTTCGTAGGAATAAGTTTCAGTAGAAACAATTTTTTTTCAACATAAATTATATTCAATACAGAATATACATCGATATGAAATTTTGAAGCTTTCAAGCAAAATATTACGTGGTGATAAAATAAGAAAGGCAATAAAACTTTTTCTGAACAAAGAAGATCTGGATAAGTTCGCTAGTAGTCGGACTTGCTCATAAAAGTTAAGCTCGAGGCAATACGCTTTGACAATTGATCAATCTCTACATTTGCCGATTAAGTCTATCCTAAAACAACTAAATTTTGTTTTCAAAAACTATGGGGATTTTATCAATAATCTTTCAAAGGGCAGCTTAGACCATTTTCATCATAAATTTCTTGACCACTATATTCTGGATTGTTCGGATTTTTTGTCTGATAAATTTTTTGGAATTAAAATAGGATAATTGGTTACTTGTAGTGTTGTTTTCTCGAGGCTTGGGCCATTCTTTTCATTCTTTTTCAGGAAAAAGCTTCGAAAATTACCAAAAAACTTTGTATGAATTATAAGAATTGAGATTTAATTTAAAACTGTTCTGCTTTCTGAGGCATCCTTCGGTAGATTTAGTTTGAAATCTTTGGGATACCGTCTCAAACCTAGATTAATCATGAGCTATTAATATTAATTTTGTTTATATGTTTGGTTTGAAAACAATTTATTATGATTATTAAAAAATATTACAGCTTTCTGGACATTTTTTCTTTGAAAATCGAGCAGAAAATTCAAGTCGTTTAAAAAATTCATCTCGTAGCTCAGAGCCCTGCTGTATCCAAAATTTATTCTTGCTTTTTCTTCAAAATTTTGAAAGTCATTTGCAATGTTGTATTGAGAAAGAAGTTGTTTGAAGAGTACTTAGGACTTCGTACCTGAAATTTTTTATTAAAATTCAATAATTGCCAAATATTTCTGAAAAATCGTCTGTTTTTTTTTCAGTTCACAACAATGAATGACACATCATATTTCAAAACTGAAATTTTGAGCGTGTGAGAGCGATGAATATTTTGAGAAAACACGGTTTGACAGACAAAAACCTGTCAACCAAGTTTAGCCAAGGCCGTTTAATGAACTAATTTAAATAGCTAAGCAAAAGCAAAACTTTTTTGGGGCTCGAACCCGGTTACGGACCATATACTTTTTGTTCGATCAGGTTCGGCTCATATCTGTGTTTCATAAAAGAAACGATTTAGATGTGATTGGAACCTGCGCCGAAGCCATCGGAACGCACTGTCTATACGATCGTCTTTTTGCCTTGTAGTGTATTTAACTATTGTTCAAACTTTTTGCGTAGTTACGTTCTTATTTTTTTAATAATGTTCTTAATTTCTCAGCAACAAGTTTTACCATACTACTTTGGAGCTAAATTAATTGTCAATTTTTTCTGGTACAAGTTTTGATGGTATAACCTTTTACTCTTATTTAATCCGGTTACTGAAGCGGAACAAACAGCTGCAATTGGTATTGCAGCATGTTGGCAAGTAAAAACGGCCGTGAACAATGTTTCCTTTTTATGGTCATGATTTTTTTAGAATTAGAGAATTTTTCCTGCTTTACCAAAAGGAGTTGATAAGACCAATTGAGCCTCATTTGGTTTTCATTAGGTCCAACGAACGACAAATGAAACCGACATAATGAAGTTGAAAGAATGGAAAAAAGTAATCTATAATCAGACAAAAAAATCTCTTACTTGTTTGAGATAGTTTTCGGATCTCCAAAATAGGAAACACTAACTAAGTTGGTTATATTCCAAAACCTAAGAACAAGAAAGGACAAACTGTTTATTAAATCCAGCTGTGGTCATATAATAATTTAGTTTCAAATCAGTATGTTACAATCAAAGATCGATTTATTAGTAATTTGATTAAGCACCAATTAGGGAGATCATCAGAAAATCTTTCATCCTGTCAGGTGATGTCATGCAAAAAAGTAGTTTTCGTGGAAAGAGAAAAGCAGTTCAAGAAGTCATGACTCTCACCCACCGTGCATTAAACACCTTCTGTAGCATGAAAACTGCTTCCAAAAAAAACAAGGAAACTGAGCGCAACTGTCAAAAAATATAGGCGCGTGGAACAGCATTTTCAATTTCAAAGATTGAAAAAATTTGAATTGAAAAAAAATTTTCAAACAAAAAAGAGGTCATATTTGAAAAGCTAATAGATAGTCAGAAACAAGATTCCAAGAAGCTGACTGCACACAAGCTCTTCCACAGTAAAACAATGAATATAACCGTGCTGTGCTTAGTTGTAAAATTATTAACTTACTAAATGAATTTCAAGTTTAGCCAATGAAATCCATTGATTCTTGTGAAAAGCAGTTGCTGCCATCCAAATTTTGATCCAGCGTAATTAACATCATTTTTACACAAACTTCAAAAAATTGCAAAAACATTTGGAAAACGTAATCAAATTCTTCATATCCCGCAAACTAAATCACTTTTGAGCAGACTTGCAAATTTTGAGAAAACATTCACATTAACGATATTTATGTTTGAAAAAATTGCGTAAAAAGTTTTTTAGAAAAACGTCAAACCTAACGTTGGAAGCTTTAAAAAGAAGCCGCCTTATTAGAAGGTCAGATGTTCAACCCCTGGGAGTGTTCTAGCAGCTCCTCATCTTGAGACTGACATTTTTTGAAAAAAAAAATTCATTTCTCCTAGTCTGAAAGTATTTAAGAAGTCAGTTGTTGATACTAGACTCGCAACCATGGGGAATCACGAACGAACTCCACCTTAGGGTTACTCAATTCAAGTTTTGTACATTAAACGCTGCAGCAAAAAAAAATACGTAGCAAAAAAGGAAAAAATCTCTGAATTTTAGGCACTCACGCTACAACAGAGTTCACGCTAAACCATTATGAGACATAAATTGTAGATGGGGAAGTTTGCTTCCTAGAGGTATTTTAGTATATCAATGTAGAGACTTCTAGAATATGTTCCAGTGACATCTGTGATCAAATCTTACTTCAGAGGTTGGCGTTGCATATTTCAACAGAGGCGGGTTGAACACATGTTAAAGTCTGACCAAAAATTCTTGTTCGAACAGGCTCTATGATCCAATACAAAATTAAAACATGAAGTTGAAACTCAAATTCAAAACACAAATTTTAGGAAAAATTAAGTGATAGTTTTTGATACTTTGATCGAATATAAGCAAAAAAAAAGTTTGGTCCCATTAAAAACTTACTTTTATGCTTTTCAGAGTGTTGCATTTAGCAAGAGTCACTCGAAAAAAAATTCCCTTCAACACTTTCAGTAGGGGCTCCTGTAAGAGTTTCAAAAGTGTTTGAACTATTTAGTTTTATGAAGACATCGAAACATAAAAATAAACTGTTAGTTCAACTTTTTTTGACGCAACTTTAAGCCAAAAACCCCCATTTCATCGCGCATTTCAATTATAAAATCAGGTTTTGGTTATTCCCAAAGTTTTGCTTCATATTCCCCTTCCAGCAATTGTTATGTTTATGATTTGGTCAAATATTGACAAAATTATAAGCCAAAAAAAGTAATTTCTAATTTTATTTTTGGATAAATTGCTTTGATGAGCATGATTGAAAATTATAACAGTTGGGTTGAGTCCAGTCGGGTCGAACTCATGTTTTTGTAGGTCAAATTTAGCTGAACTGTTTTTCCTCAGTCGAAGTCTGTCGAAAAGTTTTTTATCTGTTCAAACTTCTCCCTGGACGAAAGTACATCTTGATCGAAATCAGTCGAACGATTAGTCTTTGGTTGAACACGGTGTTTTCCCTGGTTCAACGTCTTTTCCTCGTCAAATTTTTCTCGTTAAATTCGGTTCAAACTATTTCTTCGGTCGAACACTGTCGAGTTTTTTTCTTGATCAAACAACACGTTTGAAACATTTTTTTCTCGGTTGAACGAAATCCAAACATAGTTTATTTGAGTATAGACGATCATATCGGCTATATCAAAGATAATTCAAACTGGTCGAAACGTACTGGCTTTTGGTTGAGTCATACGCTAGCCGGTAAATCAAGTATTAGGATCGTTACTATCACCACTAAAATTTTATATAAATATAATGAGTTTTCAAAATTCTCTCGGAAAAAAAATTCTCTCGGAAAAATTCTCTTGAGCTATTTTTGATTCTGGTAACTTTTTAAAAATTTTTTCTGCTTTTTTTGTTTTTTTTCCATTCTGATTTTGGGACTTTTTTTGCTTATAGCTGCATCTCCGGATCGATACAGATGCGGAAACGGCTGAATTTCATATGATCAGACCTGATTTTTTTTGAAAAGCGGCGCGTTATAAAATGTAAAAAAAAAGTAAATAAAATGATTGAAGGCTATGCTATACAACAGAGGTCTATACTAACATCAGATGCCTATTTTCTAAGTAAAAAGAGAGTAATGCGAATTAGGTATTTTGCTGCTGATATGAAGCTGTTTACTGCTTCGCTAGTGCCGACAAAAATGCTTGAATATTGGACTTCAGGGCCGAACCTAAATATTTAAATTATTACCTTAGATGCGTTAGATAAAAAGTATGTATTTTATATAGATACTGTAGATACATATGCTCTCAATATGCTCCCCGGAATCTCTCAATTACTTATAGAGTTTGTTTTATAGTTTATTGTTCCGACTTTCGATACGAAAGTAACGGAATATTTGTGCTCGGGGTGGGTTTTTTTTTTCTTCAGACAAATTGCGACTTTTTAACTAGCCTTCTTTGACGGATTTTTTTTATATCATTCAAA